AGGTTGGTACAGGACAGAATGGCGTTTAGGGTTCTTGTACATAGGGTCTCTATGAGTCACAAGCGACTCGATGGCACATAACAACAACAACAACATACAAAGAAGACCAGTTAATATGACTATTATCAAGCTTTAAAAAGATTTTAACATCTTCAGTCTTTAGTAAGTGTTCATTATGTTAAAAAATCAGAACAGTGGGTGACTCTTCCACAGTGGAGAACTGTGTTGGCCTGTGGTAAGAACTGCCCTGCTAAACCAAAGGCTTGAAATTTGAATCCACTAGCTGCTTCATGGGAGAAAGCTGGGCAGTCTCCTGTGCAATTTACTGCTTCTGAAAACCTGCCGGAGGAGGGTCAGCTATGAGTCAGTTTTGGCTCTACAGTATATAACAACTTATACATGAGCTGAGGAAAAATAGGAACAAAAAACTATTTATATGGATACTTATATAAAGCAATATACATTATATAAGAATTTCTATAATTAAAATACTGTTTAAGCAACACACAGAAAAACTGTAGCTTAAAAAAGGTAATTTTTATGAGGAAAGGTTTTCTAAGATAATGTTTCTGACTGAGACTTGGTATAATATAAACTAATGGAAATAAGGTAAAAGAGGATGTAAAGTGAGGAAGACAGAGGGTGTCAGGATGAGGGGCTGATACTTACCCTAGCTACATGACTGTACAAAACAAATGTTCCCACTATGGAGAAAATACCAAAAGCCTTGGGCAAGTGGACTAGAGAGAGCTCTGGTGGCTTGTTGTTATTGTCACCAAGTAGAGGAGTTTGACTCATAATGACCCTAGAACAGTAGAGCTGAATCTTGTCCTACCCTGCATCAGCCTCATTATCTCTGATACAGTGGTGGCTTAGCGGTAAGGAACTGCACTGCCCACCCAAAGGTAAGCAGTTTGAATCTACCAGCTATTCCAAGGGAGATCAATGGGCACTCTTCTCCCATGATTCACTGCCTCTGAAAACCCGCTGAAAGGTCAGCAATGGGTCAAGTCCAATTTGATGGCATATGCTGTATAGTAAAGCTTTTGTAGTCAGAAGTTAAGAGCTCTTAAAAACTCATGGTCATCACATCAATTCTGATTCAGTAGCTACTTTCCATTGGGTTTCCAACACTCCAAATCTTAATGGGGAATTGACTATTTGTCTTTTTCCAGTCTCCTTTTGTTTAGTAGCACAATACTCTATAGACTACACCACCAGAGCTCTTTATGAGGTCTTATACTAAAAAACTCAAAACTCTGAGGCAGAAGTGACTCAGTTAAAAACCCAGCAGATTTTTCCAAGGCTATAAATAAAATGTGAGGTTAATGTCCACCATTTACTGTGGAGCTGCTGGTGAATTCAGAGAGACAGAGGCATTGCCTCTGGGTAAGTAGTCCAGCTCTCTCTAGACTACGCCACCAAACCTCCCTTTTATGAGGCCTATTAATGCCTCCAGAATCAGAACTATTAACAGTTTTTATTTCAACACTTTCCTGAGATATACAGGTTGGGTACCTGTTCTAAATAATATGGAAGGTAAAAAGAAAAGTCTGAGAATAAACATTTACCATGAAGAGCAAGGCACAAAAATGTATACACTGTATGTGTACACATTACAGAGCTTAGAGATTATTCATTTATCTTACACATATTAATGATACAGATTCCAAATTTAGGATGAGATGACCCAGTGGGTAAGGAAGTGCGCTTTCAACCCAAAAGCAGTTGGTTCAAATCCACCAGTTGCCCTGTAGGAGAAAGATACACAGTATCCTCCGATCTGATTGACATCCTCTGAAAATCCACTAGAGAGGGTCAGCTAATAGTTCCAACTCAACAGCAAGAAGTTCTTTGACTTTTGTCCAATACCAAATACTAATTACTCTAGAAATGAGGGGGAAAATGTGTTTAACAAAATATATCAATCTTGATTCTTGTATTCTAGGCTTTATACAAGCTTTACAGTGCAGCAGCAACTCACAGACATCTGTATCATCATGCTTTTCCTGCACCAAAGTCAGAACCTACTGAAGAGTCAGAAAAGAAGAAAATGTAACCCTAAATTAAAAAAAAAAAATAAAAGTGCATGACCAGTTGTCAGTTAAATATTGTTTTGTATCTCCATGCAAACATTCAAAATACTTCCATCAGAACAGAGTGAAATATCAACACTGAAGACTGCATAATGGTTTAATTGGCTTTACAGTGTTTAATAAGCAGTATGTATGCATGGTTATATAATTTTGTTAACAGGTAGTTTTCTGATTTTGTCTTCAAATATGCTGTTATAATTTAAAGTATTTGTCTATTTATGATGACAGTACATGTGTTCTGCTTGAATTTATTACTCTTCCTACTGGGTTATAACTAAACCATATGTATTACTACTCTATGTTTGAATATGCTCATTTAATTTCTAAAAAAGAATTTTTAAATTATTTTACAAGCATTTGTTAAAGCGTATCATAACCCAGCAAGCTGAATTCAATCTTGATCATTGTACACATGCTTTTAATTATTTTAAAATACTCTTAAGAGTTATTAGTTTGATGTAAAAAAGTATATACCTTTAATTATGATTTAGTATAGAATACAAACCTGTTGATCAAAAGTGCACAAAAAATCACTTTCTTATGAATTTGAGTTCACTTCATTGTATATTTTTTCATTTGATACATAAAAAAATGTATTCCTCATACGTTTATTCTTTTAATATGTGAACTATTATTAAAGTTTACTTTGGTTCCTAAGATTAAAAACAAATGCTTACTGAATATGAAAATGTTTGAAAGGTGTTGGTACAGAACCGTGAAGATGTTGTCTTTTTAATTCAAAATACATTTTTAAAAAAATGTTTGCACCAAAGGGAGCTCTGGTGGCCTAACGGAAAGAAGTTGCACTGCAATCCTGGAGGCACAAAGTTCGAATCCACCAGATAGATGCTATGCTGGAGAACGGGGAACAATCTCCTCCTGTACCAGTCAGATTTGATTTGTTGGTACACACACACAAAATAATAAAATTAAAACATTTTTAAAAAAATGTTTGTACCATCACAAGTTTAAATTTCCATTGAAGGCACAGATGAGAATCCTATTAGTACTTACCAATTCTTTTAAACCTGTAATTCTCTCTCATATCTTAAATGATAAAATCTCTAAGTTTCATTGATAAGACTTTAAAAAGAAAACTAGAAAAAGTAATAAGGTCTCTTACCTGAGAGGTCAAAAGCAGTAATTTTTAATATTTTTAGAAATGGTTATGCCTTAATTAAATCATACTATAAAGTATGGAGTAACTAAAAAAAAAGTAAGGCATAAAAAAGGAAAGAAAATTAGTATAGAGTGTTTAAGAATTCACTCCTAAGTTATCTAAGCATGTTATCTTAGAAAAATTTGGTTACAAGCCCAGCAAAATACCTTTTCCCACTGATAAAATTTCTCTTCCCATTTCTCCCACCCATTTTTAATACCCTTTCAAAACATTGCTTCATCATCTGCCTATAAACCTTCTAAACAGAAAAATCACATCTTTATGGCAGTATATATAAAACATGGACTCAAAGACTAGAAAAACATTTAGCTTCCATAAAAATATATTTAATAACCTTGTTATATAAAAACCAAACACTTAACATCTTCAACACTTTATCAAGAATTCATAGATAACTGGGAGTGATTTATAATTCTGTAAACTACTTAAGCTAAAATATATATTTATATATTTACAACATATGTAAATAAAATTCAAGAGCTACTTTGGCTACTGTAAAAAAATCACCTTACTGTAGAGACTTATAGAGGCTACAAATGCCGTTAAGTTGTCTGCATCATATTTTACTAATTAGGAGTAAAGGAAGAAAAAAAATAGGGTGGGAAATATATAATTTTGAAGTTATGTGACATACTCTTAATAGACAGAAAAGTAAGGTAAAATCAATTCAATGATCAAGATTTCTTATTGAATTCCTGATTGTCATTTTTGGCAGTTTAATGAATCTATCAAGAATGGTAGTGTTTTACACTGTCAGGATCTCTCCAGTGTCTCATCGGTGCCATGCTAAACAAAGCAAGAGTCCTAGCTGAAAGTCAGCAACTTTGAGCCAGCATCTCACACATCATCTCCGCTTGGACTAGAGCCTTATGTCTAAAGTTAGTCTTGATAGATTATAGACTTATCACTCTTTCATGCCAAAATGTATGTCTTTAACACACTTTAAAATCTGTTTCCTTCTCACTTCTGGGGGTCTGGTGTGATCTCTTACATTATGTACAAAAATTTATCTGTAAGGTCCCAACTTCTACTTTATGTTTAAACTGCACCAAAGTAATATTTGAATTATCTTACTACAGATGAAACTCCACATTAAAATAATAAAAACATTTTTTAGATACTGCATAGATTTTAAGACGGTCCTACTACTAAAAGATCTTTTTTTTTTAAAAGGGAACTGCTTGTTTAAGAAGTTACCAAGTTATCATTTCCTATTATCTATTTATAATGACTATTTTTGCTTCACCAAAAATATTCAATATAGTTTCCAAACATATAGCATTTGGAAGTGTTTAGAATATTGGCTCTTAGAATGATAATCATCTCTTTATTCAGTACAATAATATTTCTAATAACAAAATACATGTAAAATTAGAACTTTATAATTTCCAAAAAGTAAGCTGCCTTTATTAAACATAGTTCTTGTTTGCAGTTTTTCATCACTGAAAATAGTTTAAAGCCATTATAAAACTTGAAATTTTATGTTTAAAAAAACTGACTTAAGCATTCTTGCCCTGCTGCTGAGCATACCACTGCTTCCTCTGCTTTCGGTTTTCCAGCTCTGTGAGAAGAGCCTGTCTGTAAGCTTCATATGTTTTAACAATCTGTTCCAGTTCTTTCATGAAGAGCAACTTTAGCATTCCCTGATATGTGTCCAGGTCAGCCAGCTGGAAGAGTTCCCACTTCAGAATATGGTCATATCTGTTTTAAAACAAGGTCATACATATGGTTAAAACACATGCAATGGTCTATCTTTATAACATCAACTTCACTATAACTTAAATAATAAAATTTAATTAAAAAAGAACTGAATTATAATTCTTATTTAAAGCACATGACACAGAACTCAGCAATGGGTCAGAGATGATGAGGATGGCACAAGATAGGACAGGGTTCAGATATACTGTTTCTAGGTTCACTGTGAGTAATATTCAACTTGACATCACCTAACAACAACATTTCAATAGAGAACAGTATTTTTAGGAGCAAAATAAAATGGCTAATATTAACTTCATTTCAATATAAATTTTAAAAACATTATTTGTCTTCAATTATCAGTTAATATATTAACATTAGACAACTATCAACACCGCTTTCAAACACAGCAGCTCTAAAATTTTGAAGAATACATTTCTATGGCAGTCATCAATTAACCCAAAGTTAATTGTCAAGAATTGAGAATAGGTTACCCTGTGTTTGCAAATAATAACTCATAAAAATGGGTAGTCATCTGTGTTGACAGAACTTTTAAAATTTAATTGATATTCATAACAGCAAAGAACTAAACAGAATAGGGCCACATGTTCCAAAAGGGTTGAGTGCAATTATTTAAAAAACAAAATAGAAAAGAATATGCTTTTTCAAAACCAGAGGATATTTGTAGAAGATTCTACAATGTGGAAAAGGAGTCACACAGGATTATATTTACATATATCCTTCAATGGTAAGGTGGATCACATGATGAGATGGAAGTTTGCAATCAAATGTTAAGTCAGTAACTTATTACTTTAACCAGCCTAAAGAAAGCATTTAAATCCTGTTTTATTTTATAGACAAAAATCCTAAAACCTTAAAGAAAGCGAAGCATTCAGTGGCTAAAAGTTCAGAAAGGCAGAATACAATGGACCAAAATACTTTGAAATAATGATTTTGAATGTTAATACCAAGTAGCAACCATGCTCCTACAGGATACTGAAGTTACAATTTTCAAATTATGCTTAGATCAGACGTACTAGGAAGCTCTGCCTATAAATTCTAGTAAATTTATTTTTACTAGTATCTGTATTTTCTAGCCAATGTTCCTGTGCTATTTAGTAATTTCCTTATCTATGTAATGTGTAAAAAAAAAAAAGTTTTAAAAAAGGAAACAAAAACACATATGCTGAACAGCTCATATAAATCATATGTATATGTGCCAGAACCACTAGCAATACAACATGCAAAACCACAGGGTAAACCTATTTCTCTAGATTCCCAATCTTACCTATTTAATATTTAATGAGCACTACTAATTTACTAGTGTGTTCTCTGTAGTGAGAGACTCCAACTACTTGAAAATATATATAAAAGTGCTCATATGAAAAATAATGAGCCAATGTTGAAGAAACGGTTGTAGTGTTTGCTAGAACCTCTATCATGTGTGGACTTATATTTCTACCTATTCATATTCAAGCCCCTTTCCAGTTCCTTGCACTGAAAGGACAATCTCTACATTTTCTGTGCTAGCCAGTTTAGAGTTTCAACAAAATAAAAACTTTAATGGTATTTTAAAAATCATATTGAAATAAATGAATGAAATTGAAATAAATTAACAAAAAAGTCTTCAATCTCCAAGAGTGTAGATTCCAACTGTATCTACTAATTCAAGGGAGCTTTGGTGGCTTTGACTCATGGTAATCTTGAAAGAGAACAAAGCATTATCTGGTACTCTATCATCTTCATGACTGCTGGTATGCTTAAGTCCACTGTTGTGGCAATTGTGTCAACCCATCTCATTGATGGTTTACCTCTTTTTTTTTACTGACATTTTATTAAACATAAGTCTTTATTAAGATAAAAACATGACGCTACTTAGATTAGGCAGTTGAGAAACTCCAATTCATCCCTCAACAAAATTCTGCTATTAATTTACTTACTTCACAGGGGCTCGAGCGTAAACCTGAAGCCAGTTAGGAATTTCTGCAGTATGATAGGGATTTGCAGGTACCAAGAGGGACTGATTTCTTTCAGTTTGCTGTGGTGGATATGTAACAGGAGGAGGTTGATCATACCGAGGTACACTAAGGAGAAAGAATCAACATTCACTAGGATAAAGAAGAAATCATAAAGAACAAATACTCTTTTAAGCTTATGTCAATGGTCCACCTGTCCCAACTGACTCCCTTCTACCATATAAAGACAATTTCCTAAGGGTTAGGGAGCTAACCTTCTCTTGCAAACTTGTATTTTTCAAGTAATAGGTATGAACTTAAGCTATATTTTCATATTTCTTCTGGCTAGTATTTATTTAAGGAAAGCTTTAAATGAGGCTATACTCAAAACTAGTATGAGTTATTAACTTAATATAATTAATAATATCATAAGTTGATAGATTCTTTCCTAAAAGATGAATGCTTTCTTTCTCTTTGGATTGAAAAAATCTGGTGGTCTGTAGGGAGCTGTGCTACGAATCTAAAGGTGACCGCTCTGGCTGTTCAAATACAGCAGCAACAGCCCTGGGGAAAATGATTTATAGCTTCAGGGGGAGGGCAGAGCTCACTGGAAGGCTCATTATGAGTTGGTTCATATTCATTGCTACTACAGTGAGGGGTGTTTTTTTTTGGGTGTTCTGGGGTTTTTTTTAACATGAAAAGGGGTGTGAGAATAGTCAATGTTATATGCGTTATAGGTGAATACTGTGTTTAAAAATATATTAACTAACCTTTCTATTTTGACCACTGGATCCCAAAATCAAAGCCACTATCATCTAGTCAAGCCCAGCTCATAGCTATTGTACAGAACAGAGTAGACCTGCTCTGCTGGGTTTCTAAGTCTGTAAGACTTTATGGAAACAGACTGCCATTTCTTTTTCTCAGAGTGAATGAAGGAAGGATTCAAATCAGCCTTTTAGTTAGGCATCAAATGCTTTCACCACTATACATAAAGGCTCATTTAGAGGTGAGTACAGCCTAAAATTATTATTTTAAAGTAAAAATGAGACTTTTAAAATAGTGCTCCTTTAATTAATTAAAGTACATATGCCTATATGAGGAGCTGTGGTGCCTTAGTGATAAGTTGAGCTGCCAAGTCAAAATCAAATGGTTCGAATCTACTGGCTGTTCCTCAGAAGAGAGATGGGCAGTCTTCACTAGTTCAATTTACTGCTTCTGCAAATCTATTCCAGGGTCAGTTATGAGTCACTTCCTATTCGACGGATCATAACAACCTACATACCTATATGTATAACACAGCTTAGAAGGAGAATAACAAAAGAAGTGTATGAAGGGATGGGAGACACAAATGGCAAAGTGCCAGGGGTACATTACAGCATTTGTATATGAAGGACTTAATTCTAGTAGGTCAAAATGATCTATTCTGGACTTGCACTTGCATACAAAGTAGAAGGGATCTACTTCCAGAAATAAAGATTATGAGTAAATCAGAAAAAGTCACTATAGTTTTTAGATTAAGGATTAGTCTGTGGTTAACAAATATCAATGATCAAATGGCACTAAATCTTATTTTTAATATTTTTTCATGTAGTTGTGTACCAAGTCAGAAGTGACCTTCCAGTGGGTTTTCAGAGGCAGTAAATCACGTAGAAGGAGACTGCCCATCTTTTACCTGCAGAGCAGCTAGTAGATTCAAACCACATACCTTTGGGTTGAGAGCACAATTCCTTACCACTAACCCTCAGAGCCCCCTTTCTTCTTAAGTAGGATCAAAGTGAAATAGTCCTTAACAGTCAGCTAGGAGATATATGGAGAAGCACTGGAGCTTTAACTCTTATCAAACCTAATTAGTTTCTAATTTCAATTTAAAAGAAAAACAAAAACAAAAACAAAAAAACCAAACAACAACCAAAACTAAACATGTGTTTTCAGTAATGAAAGGTATTTTGAATGAAATGAAAATTTTAAAGGTACCGTAGATTTTTATATAAATTGGTGGGGAAAACGTCCCAAGGGGGTCTCTGGTGCTGGGATTGATGGAATAAAACCAATTTATTCATATTCAAATAGTAAAGTTTCCAAGGCCCACTCTAAAAATGGGATAACAGTTTCCCACTAAACTCCTAAAAGGTGGGAGATGTACATCAATACAATTATGTCCTATGGGCCACAAAAAGTTTACCTAGATATACCTAGGTTTTAAACTCAGTTTGGCCATTTACTATTATATCAACTTAGGTGCAAGTGCTTAACATAAGCCTGATCAGTGAAATGAGAATAATAAATTTATCTGACAGCTTTTTTCAGAATTAAATAAGCTAATGTAAGCCAAGAGTTTTTATATCAGCCTAAAATAATGTTAAGTTTAACATTAATAAACAGAAAAGATCAATATATTCTCAAATATAGTTATGTAAATTGTGAATACCTCTACCACTTGGGAAAGAAAACCTTAACTACAGATTTGTTCATTTGCAAAAATTATGTACAATCTCAGTTGATGAGTATCACAAAATGAAATCACTAGGCAACTGGCTTACAACAGTAGTACTGTAGCATATGGCTAGAAGTTTGATCATGGACTTGGTCTACTGATTAGCCCAATATTTAACAAAATAGCTCAAAGGATCTCTGGCTGCATTTATTACAGATCTGAGATATTTTTTACACTCCCAATTTCTGTTTTCTCACTTGGAAACAGAAAAAGAGTATAAATTTACTTGAGTAATTGAATAAAAGCAGCAAGATTTTAATTTAAAAGTTTTCTGATCTAGTAGACAGTAGATTTGTATTATATATAGGATTTGAAATGTAAACAAGCAGAAATTTTAATTTCTGCGTATGTATGGTAAAAACTTTTTGACATATTAAGAATTTGATCATAAGAAAAATGATCTTTTTTTTGAGATGTTTAAAAAGGCATTTTAAAAAATTACTAAAAAGTCATACACAATTAAGTCTAGAAGAAAGTATCAACATTGAACAGTAAGGTTTCAAGAGTCACCCTTCAAGATGCCTTTCTCCTTAATAAAAATAACTGAGTCCAAAATCTAGTATTAGACAATCTTAAAACAAAAATTGAAAATAAAGCTTACACGCTACCTAGGAGCACAGGGATGCCTGTATTGAGCTTTCTTATTTATGTGATCTACATAATAAGTTCCAAATTCTGATGATTCAACTCGCTCCCATCCTGGGGGAAGCCCCTCCCGCTCAAGAGGGTGGCTCCAATGAGTTGTATTTGTATTATGATCTATATAATATTTTCTTCCTCTCATTGTCCAGTCCACAGACCATCCAGGAGGAAGGGGTAAATCTTCAGAACCATGGTTAGTTAAATTTCCTAAAGATGTAGCAGCAACTCTCCCAATTCCTGAGAAGAAAGAAAAAAAAGAAATATGTCATTATGAAGAAAGCTTTGCAGTATTACCATTGTTTGTTGTGTGTACTGTTGAGTTAGAACCGACCCATAGCTGACCCTCTCGCGAGTTTTCAGATGCAGTTAATCACACAGGAGGAGGCTGCCCATCCTTCTCCTGCGGAGCAGCTGGTGGCCTTGTACCAAGTGCCTTTGGGATTGCAGTGCAGTCTTTGAAATGCATTTTCTGTTTTGGTGTTTCTAATACTAGGTGATATAGTATTTAAATAATAGCAAAAATAATTTGTAATAATTTATTTATATTGCTAAAGGAAAATAAAATCTCACCTCAGTCCCATAACAAATTACGAATCCCAGAACACGTAATTGTGCTTGGGCAAAACCTACACAAACACCAAGAAAAAATTGCCCAAACAGAACAAAGGAACACTGAATTGTTTTTAAAATGATAGATTTATATGTCAAGGCTGTATCCTCCTTTTGTAGATAAAAACACTACATCTACAGAGTCCTTATGGCAAAATAAATACTTGGGCATTAACTGAAAGGTTAGTGATTCAAATCCTCCAGTGACCATCTGCTCCAACAAAAATTAACTACGCCTGGTAGAACCTCCCAGACTATGGCCCTTAATCACCTTTCAAATCTGGGGAAAAACTCACCTCCTGTGGCTCAACTTTCAGCCAGATAACAGAGAGGCCTATAAGGTGATCAGTAACACCAGAGAGTTAATTTGCCCAAGGATAAAGCCCTGAAGGTAGGAAAGGGCAGGGTAGAAGGATTAATAGGGAATAAGAATTACAAGGAGTAAGTTGGAAAAGTACAATTATATCATGGGTAGTATAATTAATGTTATGAAACAAAATATATGTAAACACTCAAACTGAAATGCCAGTATGTTCTGTAAACTTTGACTCAAATAACAAAAATTGAGGGGGAAAAAAAAACTCACTGCCATCAACTCAATTCCAACTCATGTCCACCATAACGATAGAGAGCAGAACTGCCTATAGTGTTTCTAAGGCTACAATCTTTAAGAAAGTAGATTGCTTTATCTTTCTCCTCTGGAGCAGCTGAGTGCTTTACCCACAGTGCCACTAGGGTTCCGTTGTTGTTATGCACGACTCAGTCAGAACTGACTCAGCTGCCCCTCCAGTGGGTTTTCAGAGGTAGTCAGTAAACCGCATGGGAGGAGACTGCCCATCTTTGTTCAGCAGAGCAACTAGTGTATTTGAAACACATGCTTTTGTGTTGGCAGAAAAACTCCTTACCACAAAGCTACCAGGACTCCTTGGGAAATCCCAATTCTGCTATGTCTTACAGAGTTACTATGGATCAGGACTTAACAGTACACAAGAACATATACTGTTATGGTTGTTATGTGCCATCAAGTCACCTGCAAATCACAGCGACCCCTATGTACAACAGCCCTAAACCTTGCTCTATCCTGTGTCAATCTTATTGTCTCTAACACACTCACCCCATTACCCTAGTCACTGAATCAATCTATCTCATCAAGGGTCTTCCTGTCGTGCTCTGTCCCTCCACCCTCCCAAGCATGATGTCCCACTCCAAGGACTCGTCCCTCCTTGCAACATGTTCAAAGTATGTTAGACGAAACTTCAGAATCCTTGCCTCCAAGGAGCAGCCTGATTCAACCTCCACCAGAATGAACCTGCTCATTCTCTTAGCACTTCATGGTATAGTAAATATTCTTCTCCAACACTGTAGCTCAAAGGCATCACAATTCTCCTTCTATTATCCCTAGTCATTATCCAGTTCTCTGATGCATAGCAAGTGAATGCAAAGACCATGGCCTGTATCAGGTACACCTTAGTCTCAAGACCGGCATCACTACTCTTCAGTACTTTGGAAAGGCCTCTGACAGCGGACTTTCCCAATACAGTACATCTTTTCATTTCCTGGCTGCTGGTGCCAAGAGTGTTGATTGTGGAGCCAAGCAAACTAAAGCTATTTACAACTTCTATCTCTTCACCATCCATCACAATGCTGCCAATCGGCTCAGTGGTAAGAATCTTTGTTTTCTTGATACTGAGCTTCAATCCATATTGAAGGCTGCAATCCTTGATCTTCTGAAGCAAGCGCTTCAGGTCCTCCTCAGTTTCAGCAAGCAGGGTTGTCTCATCTGCATAATACAGATGGTTGATAAGTCTTCCTCCAATCCTGATGCCATATTTCTCCTCATAGAACCCAGCCACCCAGATAATCTGTTCTGCACACAGATTGAAAAGGTATGGAGGTAGGACACATCCCTGTCATACACCCTTCCCAATTTTTAACCATACAGTGTTTCCTTGCTCTGTTCTGACAACTGCCTCCTGATCCAAGTATAATTTTAGCATAAGCATGATCAAGTGTTCTGGGATTACCAGTCTTCTCAGAGTTGGCCAGTTTGTTGTGGTCCACACAGTCAAACTCAAATGCCTTTGCATAGTCAATGAAACACAGATAGACATTCCTCTGGTACTCCCTGCTTTCAGCCAATATCCATCAAACATTAGCTACAATATCCCTAATACCACTACCCCTCCTAAACTCAGCCTGCACTTCTGGCAGTTCTATGCTGATATGCTATTGCAGTCATTTTTTTATAATCTTCAGCAGAATCTTGCTTGCACAGTATATTAATGGTATTGTTCGATAATTTCCACACTCTGTCAGATCACCTTTTTTTGGAATGGGAACAAGTACAGATCTCTTCCAGTCAGTTGGCCAGGTAGTTGTCTTCTAGATTTCTTGGTACAAGTTGGTGAGCACATCTAGGGCAGCATCTGTTTGTTGAAATATATCAACTGGTAGACAATCAATTCCTGTGGACTTGTTTTTTATCAATTCTTTCAGAGCAGCTTGAACTTCTGCCTTCATCACCACAGGCTCTTCCCCATATGTTGTTTCATAGACTAATAGATACTAAAATGGATATAAAAAGACAAAGGAACTAGAATAGTCGAAAGAACTCATACTAAGGCTTAGTACAAGATGGAATAATAAAAGGCTTAAGATAAAGAGTAATTAATTATACAAAACACAATGTACAAGAATGAAACAACCACATATCTTGAATAATTGTATGCAACCAACAAAGGGAGCTCTGGTGGCCTAGTGGCAAGACATTGCACTGCAATCCTGAATGCAACTGGTTCGAATCCACCAGCTGCTTCACAGGACAAAGATGGGCAATCTTCTCCCATGTGATTAACTGCCTTTGAAAACCCGCTGGTGGGTGGTACTCGATGGTACTCAACAATATAAAGTTACAGTAATAAAAAAAGTGTGACAATTTCAAAATAGTAGACAAAGAGACTGATAGTGTTAGAGTCCAGAAATTTACCCATACATATATGCATACATTTTTGTTGTTATGTGCCGTCGAGTGACCTGCATCTCATAGCAACACTATGTACAACAGCCCTATACCCTGCTCTATCCTGTGCCAATCTCATTGTCTCTGACACACCTAGCCCCATTATCCTAGTCACTGAATCAATCCATCTCGTGAAGGGTCTTCCTCTCCTGCACTGTCTCTCCACCCTCTCAAGCATGATGTCCCTCTCCAAGGAGGGTCCCTCCTTGAAACATGTCCAAAGTATGTCAGACAAAGCTTCAGAATGGTCAACTAATTTTTGACAAGGTGTTAATGGAAATGTAAAAATGCAGATTGTTTAATCTTATGAGTACAGGGAGTGAGTTGTTATATACCATCATGTTGGAATCAGCTCATAGTTAACTCTAGCAAGTTTTCAGATGCATGAGAGGAGATTACCCATCTTTCTCCTGTTGAACAGCTAGTGAATTTGAATGATGTTTCTTTGACTTGGTAGTAGAACTTACTAAGCTACCAGAGGTCTTTGTCAGGAGTGAAAGGAATGGGAGAAAGGAGTCACTGCTTATGAGGCATTGAATTTCTGTTAATGGTGATGGAATAATTTGGAAAAGAACAGTGGTGGTGATTTCACAACATAGTGAACATTAGTTATGCTGAACTATTCTCAACACTGGACCAACTGCAGCATCAGAGTGGATGAGGAAGAGATTGATATTGTTCACAGTTTTAGTTTGTTTGGCTCCACAGTCAACACTCTTGGCACCAACAGGATATTAAAAGACATATTGCCATAGGAAAGTCTGCTGTTAGGGACCTCTCCAAAGTACTGAAGAGCAATGGTATCTCTCTGGAGACTAAGGTGCGTCTGATACATGCCATGATCTTTGCAATCACTTGTTATGCATCAGAGAGTTGGACAATGACTAAGGAGGATAGAAGGAGAATTGATGCCTTTGAATTGTGGTACTGGAGAAGAGTACTGAGTGTACCATGGACTGCTAGGAAAACAAACAGATTCACCCTGGAGAGGGTTAAACCGGGTTTCTCCTTGGAGGCAAGGATTCTGAGGCTTTGTCTGACATACTTTGGACATGCTGTAAGGAAGGACCAGTCTTTGGAGAGGGACATCATGCTTGGGAGGATGGAGGGACAGCGCAGGAGGGGAAGGCCCTATATGAGGTGGATTGATTCAGTGACTGGGGTAATCGGGATGGGTTTATCAGAGACAGTGTGATTGGCATACGACAGAGCAGAGTTTACAGCTACTGTACATAGGGTTGCTATGAGTCGCAAGTGACTCCACGACACATAACAACAATATACATATCAATATTGTTAAAGTGGAAAATGTATTAGATATTCACTTAATTAAAAACAAACTGGTTTTAAAAATGCAAGGGCCATGTAAGGAGGGCCAAATCTGACCTTGAACAACTTCACAAAGTTGAACTGTCCCTGTCAACAGCCTCAATAACACAAAACCAGTTCTTATGAGGTCAATCATGTCCCGCATACTCCTACACCTCTTTCTACTCATCCCAATAACCACCAATTTTAGTACTTTACTGGATCCAAAATCTGATGCAACAGCTCACAGATCACACAGAACCATCCCATGGAAGTCAAGAGGTTATAATCCACATTAGTAGAATACAGTCAGGACAGCTTATGAATGTGCTTGCAGGCATCACAGCCTTGAGCCTTGTGGATTTAGGCCAGTGTTACAAAAGTCTCAGTGTTGCCAATATTGACTCTCCCCCACAGTCCTCTAACAAATTTGGGCAAAAGGCTCTTAGCTCTGGTTCACTGTCGTAGCAGTCCCAAAGTTTGTTCAATCTCGTGTCAGGTCTTTGGTTCTCCACTGTGGCTACTATGGCTGTTGCTCTGTAAGGTCTAGTCGGGCTAGTGTAACATTCTCTTCTTTTCTTTTGCTGGCAGTAAGGTTTTCTCCTTTTCTGCTGCTAGGTCCACTCAACTAATGGTGAGACTAGGCAATCCTCCTGTGGATTGGTAAAAGTAGCCAATTCCCTTTTGGATTGCCCTACATGTATATTACCAACCATCGACATGGTAAAGTCAAATTCAATGGTTAGGAGTGCCATTTTGAATACTAAGTGCTTCATATCACAACAGTAAAGGTAAATATAGAGGGGAAAATGATATAAAAAAAGTATAAAATTTATATGACAGAACATTAAAAAATTACTCCAAAGCATAGGAAAGAGGCAACTAAACACACTACCATAAAAAAAAAAAAAAAAGAATAAACAATTCTCTGAAGGAAAACTACAAAGCAGATGAGCAAGAACCTGAAAAAGACACTAGTTCTCAGGAAAATCTAATATGAAGAGGAAAACTAGAAGGTGCATAATGTAGTAATGAGGTAAAATAGGAAAAAGTGTTCTAACAACAATATACATATAAATATTGTTAAACTGGAAAATGTATTAGATACAAACTGGTTGTAAAAAAAGCAAGGGCCATGTAAGGAGGGCCAAATCTGACCTTTACCAACTTCACAAAGTTGAACTGTCCCTATCAATAGCCTCAGCACCATCAAGATACAACTGCAAGGAGTGGAGTGCATGCTTTTGGACCCAGGTCTCTGAGATATAAACGCTTTAACTCCCCTGCCTTGCCACAGCTATTATTCCTAGTTCCTCAGCTATCAAATCCATTTTAATTTCCAGCTGCAAAAACTTTTGGATTAATTCACCTATTCAATAATTTATTTACAATCTCCTAAGTAGTCAAACTACTTAATAATCCCATAATAATTAATTTTGTTCATACTAAACTTATAACTAGACCAAGAAGTTTTTGTACCAAAAGAGTAAGGAAACACTGCATGGTTTAAAATCAAGAAAGGTGTGCCTAAGGGTTGTATCCTTTCTCTATACCTGTTCAATCTGAATGCTGAGTAAAGGTCATGGTCTCTGCCATTACTAGCCATGCATCTGAGAGTTGGACAATGAATAAAGATGACAGAAGAATTCATGCCCTGAGTTGTGGCACTGGAGAACAGTGCTGACTATTCCATGGATTGCCAAAAGAACAAACAGGTATGTCTTGGAGATGTGCAGATTGCTCCTTTGAGGCAAGGATAATAAAGCTTTGTCTTACATACACAGCAACAGCAACAATGGGCTCATCTGTGTCAGAAATTATGAGGATGGCACAGGATAGGATAGGATTCTGATCTGTTGTCCATGGGGTTGCTATGAGTCATACTCAACACCACCTAACATGAAGAAGTAGTCAAACAGAGTAAGGAAACACTGCATGATTTAAAATCAAGAAAGGAGTATGTCTGGTTTCTCCACATCTATTCAATCTGTATGTTAAGTATATCATTTAGGAAGCTGGACTCTATGAAGAAGGTGGCATCAGGATGGGAGAAAGATTTGCTAGCTTAAAGTGAGGAGGACTTTCTTTGTAGAAGATCAAAGACTACAGCCTTCAATATAGATTGTATTTCAACATTAAGATTTTTAAAAATCCTTATCACTGGGCCAAAAAGCAATATTATGATAAATGGCAAAAAAGATTGATATTGTCAATTACTTTATACATTTGGATACACAATCAACACACTTGATACCGGCTGTCTAGAAATCAGGAGACGTACTTGGCAAGTCCACTGTCAAGGAACTCTTCAAATTATTGAGGCACAAAATATCAGTTTGAAGACTAAGATCTGCGTGATTCAGGCCACGGTCTTTTCCATCACTAGCTATGCATCTGAGAGCTGGACAATGAATAAGAATGACAGAGTAAGAATCGATGTCTTTGAGTCGTGGTGTTGTCAAAGAGGACGGAATATCTCATGAACTGCCAAAGGGACAGACAGATATGCCTTGGACAAAATGCAGTCAGAGGGGCATGTTGTTAACAGGGGCCATTCTTTGGAAAGGGATATCATGCTTGGGAAAGTCAAGGGTTAGTGAAAAAGAAGAAGACCCTCAACAAGATGGACTGACACAGAGACAGAAGCGATGGGTCTGACTATCAAAGATGATGAGCATGGCACAAGACAGGATAGGGGTCAGATCTGTTGTTCAGATGGTCTCTATGAGTGGTCCTCAACTTGATGGCATACAACAAGCAGCAGCAGCCAGGTTCAGTAATCAGTTGCTAAACTAATCATTGGTAGTTCAAATACAGCAGGAATCCATTTCCACAAAGATTTAGAAGATTTGGAAACTGCATGTCCTTTTTGGTGGCTATGAGTTGGAATAGAAAGCACGCACTGGTAGTCCAGCCCATAGGGTGTTGTCACCACATATGTGCTGAGAGAGAAAGATGAGCAATTCTTCCATGAAGTTCATACCTTTGGAAGTTCAAAGGAAGGTCAGTTATAAGTCAGTTCCAACTTGACAGCAATGAACAGCTAAATGTGAGTTGGAATCATTCTGAATTCAAAGGCAGTAAGTTTATACAGCAAGGTGTTGTGCTAATCCCATCTTTCTTTCCTATAACCCTTCCATATCATTAGTGACCAAATTCTATCAATTTATAGCTTCCCCACTTGTGCCCTTTTCAAATGTCCCCTGTCTTCTCAAGTCCTCATTAAGTCCCGGAAACTGAATTTCTTCAGAATGCTCACTACAGAACAGCTATAAAATGAAAGGTTATGGAGTCATTAAAACTACTCATAAAAGTTATATAACAGATTACCTTTACTTTTATGCATTTTGAAAATTTCCCATAAGCAAATTATTATTCTAAAATAAAATATTAATGAGCTTTGTTTTTAAAACTTACTATTTACTTGGGTAACGTAACTTATGAACCTTAGAACTAAGTAATATTAGAAATAATCAAGACTGAAGTATGGCATTCTCTCTGTCCATAACCTAGATGTGAATATTAAAATAAAGGCACTTACACTTTTTTTAAGGCTCTTACACTTATTACAGTGGTTTTATAACTAGAAAATCTCTCTACTTCAATGTCCCAATGAGACCTCAGTATCAGTTTTCACAAAATAAGGTACTCTTACCAAATAGTACACACTATTCCCAATTTTCAAAACTGTAATAATTTATTTTTTCTGTCAAACATTCTTCTAGGTGGTACAGCACTGGTCTGTGCGTTGCTGTACAAAGGGAACTGGTGTTGCTGAACACTGTGACAGTGAAGTGCCAATCGTGTTAATAGGTACCCATGGTGGACAGTGTTGGCTGGAGCTTTCCAACTAAAACAAGCCTGGAAGCAGGAGCGGCATCCATTTCCGAAATGGCTTGCCTCCGGAAACTCTATGTATGAACAGTGCTCAGGCCGTTCATTCATAGGGTCGCTATGAGTCATCTACGACTCGATGGCACCAAACAACAACAACAACAATCATTTACTTTTCCCCCAAACTTTTTAAATTACCAGAAGCCCTGGTAGCATTGTACATTAGACTGGGCTGTCCTCTGAAAGGTCAGTAATTTGAATCTACTAGCTATTCTATAGAAAAAAGATAGGTCTGTCTCCAAAAAGATTTATGGTCTTAAAAACTCAATGGAGGGTTGCCATGGATCAGACTGATTCAACAGAAGTGACTCTTAATTTTAAACTCATAAGTAACAGAAGCCCTCATATAACAGTGGCTGAAGCACTTGGCCACTAACTAAAAGGTCACTGATTTAAGAAACTCTATGGGGCATTTCTACTTTGTCCTCAGGGTGACTATGTATCAAAATTGACTTATTAGCAATAAGTATAGGGAATCCATAATAAAATCTTATTTTTCCCTCAAAAGCATTATAGGTTTTTGGTCTATTATTCCTCCCATCTTTGTCTAGGAATCTATTCTGAATGTTTTAGGTACCACTGAGCTGACTACAACTCTTGGATCTTTCCCTATCTTGTGCAATTCATACTCTCTGATAGGCTTGAGTCCACTGTTACTATCACTATTTTGAATATTACTGAACTAATCTTTGTTAAGCACTATTTTCATAAAATCATTAATGGCTGTGAAAGAAGCAATAGCTTTTGCTTGACACAGATCTAAATCTTATAGCCTGTTGTTGGACCACAAACCTTTGACATACATCATACCTCTTAAAACCTTGCAGACTGATTATTTTGACTCACACACTCCCAGTTTCACCATGCTATTCTCAATTTTCCACCTAAAAGTTTCCTTTGCCAGTTGTTAATCCAAAATCCATTTTTTTTTATTAAGATTGGTGAAAAGGTATTTCACAAATATTGACTTCCCAAGAAAATGCAGGGGAAAAAGATTCGTTTTAATTGAAGTATCAACAACTTTAACTATCTCATTTATAACTGTAACTTACCTGCAGTGTGCCTCCCCTGATTCTGTGGCATTCTTTGGAAGAGATCATGGCTGTATTCATAGTATCTATAATCTTCATGCACACGATCTCCAAGTGGCCGCCTTCTCAGACCATCAAAAAAATTATCTGAATAATAGAATCGGGAACTAGTGTCTCCATTTTCAACAGCAAAATTAATGTCTGTTAAAAATGACTGGGAAGAGCCATATTCTCCAGGGACATCTGCTAGACTCCTGGCAAGAAAAGAAGGTGCAGATAATCTGTTGCTTTCTCTTCTCATTACTTCATAAGGTGTTCTCTGAATTGGAGTCCTAAGGAAACTCTGGTTTCTTGAAACCCCATCTCCAGAAGCTGCAAAGGCAACAGGGTTTGAATCTGGAAGACAAATATCAGTTCGTCTTGGAATTGTTGGACCATGCCGGATGAATGATGGCGTAAGATCTATAATAAAACAAAGAGTAAAATTATCATTTCACTAAATAGTATGTTGTGTTGTTAAGTGCCGTTGAGTCGTAAGCAACTCAGAGCGACCCTATGAACAGAACAAAAGACCTGAACACTTGTATAACTTTCATCCTTTCTCCAGGTTCATAGGGTTTCTGGCGGTAAGTTATGTTGGAAGTGGGTGCCACTCCTGCTTCCAAGCTTGTTTTAATTGGAGAGCGCCACCAAACACCATCCACCAAGGGTAACCAGTCTTGCATCAGTGTCACAGTGTTCAGTTTCACAGCAACCACGAGTTAACTCTGTACAGCAAGTGGACAGACCAGGGCTATATGACTTAGAAGAATATTTGACCAAAAACAATTAACAGAGGCCTGAGGGCCACAGATTAAAGTCACCCACCTTTGGCTTGGTAGCATCACTTTCTGTCTACTAGGCCAACTGATCTTTCTCTATGCTGTTGTTGTTAAGTGTTCATTTTTATCTACCACTTCTGAAATCTAAACTTTTTATGGATTTAAAGATACACAAGAAGCACTCTGATGGCATACTCCGCAGGAAGCAGAGATGCTAATCTAAAGGTGATACCTCTCTGGAGGTTTCAATCCACCAGTGGCTCTGAGGGAGAAAGATGGGCATCAGAATCCTGTGAGATTTCAGCTATTAGTCAGTTCTGATTCGACAGCGATGGGGTTTTGAGAATACACAACTTTAAATTTTTATTTAAGTTAGTATTTGGGTGTTTCAAAACAGAGGCTAATTCGTATGTTCCCATTCAAATGAACTGGTATTTTATATGAATGTGCTATATGTATGTGCAGCCAAAATCAAATGTATTCTAAACACTGTCACCAAAGGAACTTTGATAGCAACATAGCAACCTTGTAGCACAAAATAAAACTTCCACACTAGATTTCCAAGGTTGGAACCTTTAACAGAGGCCAATTGCCACACAATCTTCCTGTCACAGAGCATGTCTTGGTTAGAACTGCTACTGACAAAACACTTGGCTGCCAAACACTAACTCTTGTTCCATCACAGCCCCTGTGTTCTTCACTTTACTATCATCGAATGGGTTTCAACTCAGAGCAACCCCACTGAATTTTTGAAGTTTAAATCTTTACAGGAGACGACTGCCTGTCTTTCTTCCTTGGAGCAGCTGGTGGATGTGAACAGCTGGATACATTGCATACTAAACCACTAGGACTCCTTATAGTCTACATTTCTGTTGTATACCGTCAAGTCTGAGACAGCTTGTTAGCTGACCCTCCAGGAAGTTTTCAGAGGAAAGTAAGTCCCACGGGAGAAGAATGTCCATCTTCCTCCCATGAAGCAGATGGAAGATTCGAATTACATGCCTTGGAGTTGGCAGCATAACTCCTTAAAAGCTCAGAGAGCTCCCTTATAGTCTACATAGCATCATGTAATATGATGAAAGTACAACATATTAAAAACTAATATGTACTGCAAGAAATGTTCAAGAATTAATAGATTTTAAAAAATAGGACAAATCACTAAACAATCTAATAAAATTTCAATGCAATTATTAGTCTAACTTATTATAGTGTGCTTCATTTACAAACGCTAAAAATCTTTTTTCAAGCAAATGTAAGTGGAACATAATGTTATTCTCAAAGTAAATTATTTTTAAAAAATTAACCTAGTCTTCCTCTTCAATTTGACTAGAAGTTGTAAAGCTTGAAAGTTCTATGCATGAAAATAAAAAAAGATCTTATTTCAAAAAGCACACAAATGTTAACTGAGTTCAAAGCCATCAAAGATGAAACGAAGGCTCCTTTAAGAGCAAGTAATTAGAATTCAAAATAGAAGATAGCAGTAGAACAATAGCTTTCAGGATATAGTACTTCTGAATACCATATTTGAAAATAGCTCAGACACTCTCAGAAAGCAAATGCATGAAGGAAGCTGGATTTTACAAACTTAATATTAGAAGGCATTTAAAATAACATTCAGAAGTTAACACTGGACAAAAGTCAGTATATGAATAAATCAGACTCAATCCCTGATGAAACAAAAAATATTATGTCAAAAGTTATTTGCTTAAAAGTAAACCAAACATTTCATAACTTTATGTAATATATAAAAAACTTTATGAGCAGCAAATCATAAGGTACTCTTTATGAACTTAAGCAAAAATCTAACATGCATAACTGAAAAGATTTTCTTTAAGGTTTAAAAATAAAGTTGCAGAATACTGATAAACTTGATCAGATCCACTTTACTGGTCGATCAGAAAGCACTACAAGGTCAGCATTCTATCATCAGGATGACTGAAGATGTAATTGTAATGGGAAAATAATGCTCTCCACCCTTTTCTATGTGATCCTGGGAAGTTGTAGGAACTTTTATGAACAATTTCTCAACTATAAAATGAGGTAATACCTAAGTCACAGTGCTACTGCTTGCTTCCAAGAAGGAAATTTACACAAAGGGACCCACACAAAGTAAGAGCACCAAAATAGAGGTTCAGAACACAAGAGCAAAAACTCAAAATTCAAAAGGTTCACTGTGAAGATTAGAGTCAATTACTTAAATTGAGAAGAAAAGTTAAGGAAAGTAATATTTTTTGTAAAGGTAAATGAAAATTTTTTTTAAGTAATCGTCCTTATATTGGACAGAAATCATGTTGAGTTTCTTTGCCTTTCTGGAGTCTGTAGGCGGTCTTTTTAAGGAGCCCAAAGCCACTCATTGTGGGTATTTGAGTGGGGATCCACTAGTCCTGGGGCAATTAATCCTGAAAGAGTTGTGCTGCTGACCCAAAGGTTCCATTTCTCTACAGGTTCGAATTCACCAGCAGCTCCAAGAGAAAAAAAGATGAGCAATCTCCTCCTGTAGCTATTTACAGCCTCTGAAAAACCTTCCAGTAGAGCACATAACAACAAACTCAGCTATGAGTCAGTTCCCACTCAATCGCACATAAAAACATAGTACTGAGTATGTGTGAGTCACAAAAGACTGGCCTGCAGTTTGGTTTTCTGTTTGGGGGTCTTTTATTGGAAGCTGAAATAAACCTGCCAAACACAAAAGACTTTTGGCTCCTCTACGCTGTGATTTAAAAGTATTGGGATGTCAGGTAGCAACTGTACTTTAACAGTTGGGCTTTTCACCTCCTCACCTCTGCATGCAACGAGCTAAAGAATTTTGCCCCAGAGATTGCACAATTTTCAGCCCTGGCAAGTGACACCAGCAGTGCCTGCAAACACAAGGCACATCTATGAAGACTGTGTTGATATGAGAAAAGTGGGTTCCAGTGAAATGCTTTTACTCCTAAAATGCCAGTATATAAACTGTTTCCTACAGGGTCCCGTTAAAAAAAATCTCAAAATCAATAACAATGCCAAGGAGAAAGAGAGGTTTGTCATTTTCAAGGGGTCGCCCTAATAATGGGAGGCGAAGTAACAAAATAATAACACTAACCTAAGTCGCTTATTTTTCTCATCTTCTAAAGAAAGACCACTTTATGCACAAGAAATGGAAAACTAGTAGTTCAGAGGTCAAGAAGCATGGGGACGCCCGAGTCTCCAAGAAGTGGCGACTGGCGCCCCCGCTGGGGTCCCCGAGTGGCCGCAACAGCCAGGGCCAGGTGGGCGCGCCCCGCCCAACACTTACTCCGCAGCAGGGGCGACGTCTCCTTCTTGACGTACTTGCCCTGCACCTCGGCCGGCTTGGACACTTCGTTTTTGGTTTTCTTTCGAGACAGCATCCTTCCCCGCAAGGTCCGAGGCTGCGCCACGCAGCCTGCCCGAGGGTTCCACGCCGGGTCCCTGCCGTCTCCGCGGCCACCTCGCCCCGCGCCGCCGCCTCTCCGCAGCCCGGGGTCGCCCGCAGGGACAGCCGCATGTTCGGGGCGCTAAGCGCGCCGGTCGCAGCTCAGTCGCATGTCAAGTCCTTCCTGATAGTCCGCGACACTGCTCCAGGACGCCCTGAGGAGAGGCCAGGGAATCCGGGCCAGGGCCATGGTCTGCCGCGGGCCGCTTGATAACCGCTACTGCCGCCGCCGCCAATGCCGCCTACGTCCCGTAAACTTTCCCCACAGCCGCTGGGAATTCTGGGAAACTCGACGCAGCGCAAGGCGCAGCCACCGCCCTTCCCCCACCTCGGCTCCAGTGAGCTGCTCCCGCTGCCCAGCGTCGGCGCCAGTTACCGGACAAGCCCCGTGGTCTCCCCGGAGGAGGAGCCACAGTCTTCAGGCATCTTGAGAGGGAGAAGCACATCCGGAGGACCCTGGAGCGCAAAGCCAGCCAGGCTGAGCACCGGAGCCCATCGCGTGCTCACGCAGGGGAATCCTCTTTCTCACAAAATGTTTTTCCCTCAGGTCCTTGAAGGTAGTGACGCCCCCTAGACACATTCAGTCCGTCATCCAAGAGTGAAGAAGTCCCTGCTGGCCTAGTAGTAAGAAGCTGCACTGCAATCCCAAAGGCAGCTGTTCGAATCCGAGAAAAGCATGGGCAGTCTCTCCCATACTATTTACTGCCTTTGAAAACCTGTTGGAGTCTCAACTATGAGGCAAACAGTTTGAATCCACCAGCTGCTCAGCGGAAGAACCGTATGCCATCTATCCTACGATTTACAGCCTCTGAAAATCTGCTGGAAGGTGGGCAAGGAGGCAGTTCGTAATTATAGACGGCAGGGAAAATAGAGATAAGGAATTGCGCCGCCGCTGAAAGGTATGCAGTTCAAATCCACCACCTGCTCCGTGGGAGACAAGTGGGCAATCTCCTCTCGTGTGGTTAACGGACTCGTTGGGACGTCAGCTATGGGTCAGTTCCGACTCCATGGTACACAGTAACAACAGCTTAAAGTAAGAATAAAGCTGACAGATCCAGGCTAGTGCCAGACCAAGTAATCTCTCAAAGCTAACTGCTGTCAAGCAAGTCTGAACCACCTCATTGCTGACCTGCCAGCAGGTTTTCAGAGATTGCAGGAGAGATTGCACATCGTTCTCCCTTTGAGTAGCTACTGTCTTTCGTTTGCAGCAAGATGCCTTTAAATTGAGGCCATGAATTGATTCAGTACTTTTTTTTTTTTTTTTAGTTTATCTTTATTTTTTATTAATGATTTTAATGAAAGTTTACAGACTTAGGATTTCCACTGTTGCACTTTTCTCCCTGCCCACCCTCTCCCTAGTACTAATTTTAAAAGTGTTAAAGTGCTCATCTACCAGAGCATCTTTCTCATGAAACTTCTTTCATAGAAGTTTAGAAATAGAGGAAATAACAATGAATTTTCTTCTTTAACATAAACCTGACCATTTTAAAAGCCTTGCAAACTCATTGCCGTGGAATTGGAACTGACTCATCGTTTTCGGAGGCTGTAAATCACACAGTTGGAGAGTCCCATCTTTCAGCCAACTGGCCCATGCCTCAGAGCGCTCTCTGAGGAATTTGATACTACTCAAACCTACTGCCATTGGTTGGAAACAGTGTGCACCATCTGGCCTCTGATACCTCCCACCAAACCACAGGACCTTTCTAGTTAGCAGCGAAGCACGCTACTGACTTTGAGACTCCACCATCACACTGTATCATAATTATATTACTTTATCATCACTATTACTAGCACAAGGAACCCTGAGGGTGGAATCCCTGGGAGTTGCACCGCTAACCCGAAAGCCACGCTTCTCTAGCAATTTGAATCTACCAGCTGATCCATGGGAGAAAGATGGGCAGTTGCCTCCCCTGTGATTTACAGCTTCTAAAACCCACTGGAGGGTGAGCTCTGAGTAGGAGGACTTTCTGAGAGAGAGCAACAGACAACACAAAATTATTAACACAAGGAACCTGGTGGTGTTGGATGGAATAGCTCCTTGCATGAGAAAGATGAAAGATGGGCAGCATTTTCTCATTAAAAGTTCTCTTCTCTCTCTTTTCTATGGAGTTGGATCCAACTCACAGCTGATCTTCCAGCTTTTCCTAGCGCTTCTAAGGCTGTGAATCACAAGGGAGAACACTGTTCATTTTTCTCTCACAGAGCAACTGATGGATCTGAGTTCTCCTAGAAAAACCACCCTCTAAAGACTGCACCACTGACTTCAGAGACCTGGTGGGGAATGATTGCTAAGAGCCCAAACCAACTAGGTAGTCATGAGTTTATTAGTAGTACGGACATCTTCAAGTTTTAACCTGAAAGGCAGTTTGAATGCAATAGCCACTTGGAGGGAGAAAGATAAAGCAGTCTGCTCCAAAATTTCCTTCTAGAGGGTCCCCGTGAGAGAGATGTGATTGGTAGCAGTGGGTTTGATTTTGTTTTTATCATTGTCATGGTGGTGGTTATGTACTATTTAGTCAGAGGTGACTTTTAGGTGACCCTCCAGCAGATTTTCAGAGACAATAAATCACCTGCTAGGAGATTGCCCATCCTTCTCCCGTGGAGCAGTTGGTAGATTCGAACTGTGTGCCTTTGGGATTGCTGTTTCTTACCACTAGGCTACTAGAGCTCCCTATCATTGTGATTATTACATAACAACAAGTGGGCTCTGACTCATGTTGTTGTTGTTATGTGCTGTTGAGTTGCCTGTGACTCATAGCAAGTCTATGTACAATTCTGAAACCTGCCTTGTCTTGAGCCAGTCTCACTGATTACAGCACATCTACTCCCATTGCCCCAGTTACTATATTAATCCATCTCATTTAGGGTCGTCTTCTCCTCTGCTGTCCCTCCACCCATCTGAGTATGATGTCCTTCTCCAGGGATTGGTCCCTTCTGGCCATGTGTCCAAAATATGTGAGATGGAGTTTCAAAATCCTAGCCTCCAAGGAGAAACATTGTTTTACCCTCTCCAAGACCTATTTGTTTTCTTGGCAGTCCATATATTCAAGGCTCTTCTCCAGCACCACAACTTGAAGGCATCATCTTAGTCATTCAGCTCTCTGATGCAGAGCATGCAATTGCAAAGCTCATGGCCTGAATCAAGTTCATACGACCCAATAAACAACAGAAGGAAACACTGCCTGATCCTGTATGCCATTTCACAATCTCTACTGTGCTTAAGCCCATTGTTACAGTCACAGCGTCAGTCCATCTCATTAAGGGTTTCCCTCTTCTTCCCTAAGGAGCTCTGGAGGTACAGTCCACAGCGGGTTGCACTGCTAACCTGAAGATGTGCTTTTTTAGTAATTAGAATTCACCAACTCCACTCCACTGCTACTAACCCAAAGGCTGAATGTCTCCAGTTCCAATTCACCAGTGGCTCTGCTGACAACTTTCTGTTGAAATTTACAGCCTTGGAAATAAACTCAATGGAGGGTTGCTATGAGTTTGAAATAGCCTCAGCAGTGGTGAGCAGAGTTGGGCTAGTTTCTCCTTACTGACCCCCTATTTTTTCCATGGTGTTGTTTGCCAAGGACTGACCCCTCCTGGTAACTGTCCGAAAATGTGAGATGAACTCTTACCATACCGACTTCTAAAAAGCGCTCTAGGTGTATTTCTTCTAAAACAGATTTTTATATTCTTTGTCAGTCTATGATCTATTCACCGTTCTTTGTCAATACCACAATTCAAAGTCATCAATTCTTCTTCAGTCACTCGCTGTCCAACTTTCACATGCATATGACTCATTCACTACACTAATCTGCTATGACTCCTAGTGATCCTCAGGCTTCTTATGCTGTGAATCATAATGCGAAGAAACTACTGCAGAGTTGCTGGTAGATTTGAGCTGCCTGAGATGTGCAGATTTTGAGTTAGCAGCACAGCTTCTCAGGGACTAGGAGGAGCTAATTGTTACCAGAGGTTCCAGTTTCACATATGAAGGAATTGAAAATACCATTGTTTGAATCAGTCAGATGCACCTTAGGCTTAAAGCAACATCCTTGCTCTTTAGCACTTTAAAAATGTCCTTGGTAGTAAACTTACCCCATGCAGTAAGTTGTTCGGTTTCTTAACTGTTGCTTCCACAGGTATGAACCAGGGAGCCAAAAAACTTTCCATATGTTATGACATTGCTTATTGGTCCAGTTGTGAGGATATTTGTTTTCTTTATGTTGAGATGTAATCTATACTGAAGGCTCCAGTCTTTGTGAGCTTCATCAAGAAATGATTCAAGTCTTCTTCATTTTCTACAAGCAAGTCTGTGTCATTTTCATATCACAGATTATGGATCTAATAATTACAGATTTCCTCTTTGAATATAATACCACCATCTTGGAATTTTGATCATTTTAAAGTCATGGAATCAGGACCTGGAATTTTCAGTATAAAATAGTTACTTGTACTTTTTCTCCTGTGTGGCTAACTAAGTTGACTACAGTACAGAATAACATTTGGAAAATAACTTGAACACTAAAGAATTTTAGTGACCAAAGACCATTAATAATAAAGAATATCTTCCCTGCTACATCTAAAACTTTTCAAGTGATCTAAAACACAGATTTAACAAAATGTGTGGAATTTGCTATCACACAAGAGAAAGAAGATAAATTTTATTTTGTTGTGAGAAAATAAATGGTATTTTATCGAATGTCTGTCTCTGCCTTTGTCTGATTTTATGTTCTCTTATGCTTGCTGAAAAGGAAGAAAACTTAAGGCACTTACTGAAGAAGATCAAAGACTATTGTTCTTCTTGTTATATGTCATCGAGTTGCCTGCAATTCACAGTGACCCTATGTACAGTAGATCTGAACCTTGTCTATCTTGAGCAAGTCTCACTGACTCCGATGCACCTATTCCTATTACCCAGTTACTGAGTCAATCCATCTAATCTAG